GTCTACCGAATTCTTTATAATCCAGCAATAAACGAAAAATCATCGTTTCTTAAAGATGAGATATCGAGAAACAGAATCACGCGCTAGACAGCCGTCCAGAAAGACAACTGGGTGGCTTCCGCAAATTGTTCAAAATATTTGCCAACAAAAATGATTTTGAGAGATAACGTCATGCAAAGTGAAACCGCTAAGTCGGTCCTGAATGGCATTCAGCTGTAGTAACATTCCATTTATTATAGTCCGATTAAATCAATCGAGCTCAGTGAATTTCAGATCTGTTGATAAGGATGGATTTATTATTTCCATCACTTTATATTCTGGACGAGAGTGAGAGGGGAATCAACCCCAATCATCTGTCTGATACGGATCTTGGAGTGTTCGGTTGCCCGTTGCCCACAACCAGAAAATTTACAAATAAAGCTTGTGAATAGGGTGAGAAATGTTTAGAACTATTCATTATTTATTCATCAAAACTCCTACGATATGCCCAGGACAATATATACTTCAATACCCCACCTGGTTTTGAGGAAGTTGGTTTTGCTATGTATCTTGGGCCCAATATAAGAAACTGAAAGTGGTATAGATCTGACACATTGCCTAACCTGTGATGAATGGGAGATACCGAGTGCTGGCAAAACACTGGCTTATCCCCTCCGGTGACGTATTGTCTGGGTCGCGGTCATACTTCCATCCGTGGGGATATAGTTGATCATGATGGTGAACAGACACTTCTGAAGCTGCCCCTGGTCAGACTACCAGTTGTTTCAAAGGGTAAAATATTTCCGGTTAAAGTGGTAAACTAGATTAGTGACAAAATGTTCAAGAAGTTGAGAATTTCTACTGAGCCAGAGATGCGACAATTCTCATGGGGGAGGTTTTGGTTGTCCGTTTAGTTCCATCAACTATGGTTCATTATTGTAACACAACTTTTCAATACGGGTGTTTTTGCTATTTTTCAACCTCATAACTTGTGGAGTAACTTAAAATTCAAAACACATCAAACAACACCGGAGATAACATAGAGGATTGCTAAGGTCAATCGGACCAAACAGGTCACCTACTAAGGTAGAACAGTCTCCCGATAACAACGAGATGGTGTTTGGACAGGATGAGATAACAGGCTATCTGATTGTAACCCAAATTCGGATGCAAATTTTCCACGTATTCGGTTTTTAGCGGATGTAGACGAAAGCAACGCCAACTTCGTATCCGTTGCCAAAGGGATTTGGACATTCTCGGGTGGAACACGGTCAAATTGAGTATGGTCGGTGTCCGGATATAGCTGAACGACCCCACTTCTTCAATTGTGAATTTGGAAAAATCTGCATGAGATGATAATAGACCACGTTCAGTTAGTTTTCGTTTCGTGCAAATTTCATCTGCTTCAAAACATTGTGATTGATAATATTCTTTGTGCAAAATGTATTACGAAGACGAAGTCACATAGCATGTAATTTCCGGACAAACTGCAATCGGTGAATATACAGGGGATAAACTGTTCAGTCAGAAACAGTTATTGATCAAATAATGGGAAAATTTGGTTTATTCTGGACAGTAATTACTTATATAGCTATCGATTTTCGTGGGATTCTGAACTGCCAGACATCACTTCTTGCGTGATTCTCGTCCACGTGGCCGATTAAAATATATAAACTACTAATGGCGTGAGTAGCTTCAAAATATTTTGAGTGGCTCCGTTCACAAGAATTGATCACGAAAATAGAAAACAAACTGGAATAATCTTTCATTTCATTTTTTATGGAACAGATAATTACATACAGACTTTTAGAAATGTTGTAATTAGATTATCCTATTCCTATTTCAAGGACGGTACTCCCCACCTGTGGTCCTCTTGCTTTTTGTCTACTTGTATTTAATTGTTTGGAGTGACTTTATTCCCCATGCATGCCGAATGCATTCGAGTTATGACAGAAATTTAGATTGGTGAACGACAAACCAACTGTTTCGTCTTTTCGTGGAAGATTATCATAAGAAAATTAAAAGACACCATATACATGTGACGTGTCACTTCATTACGACATGATTGAGGTCGCGATTCAGTTCGTCACGCCGGTTTGAGTGAGGCTAATTTGACGACCAAAAAGGAGGTCAGAATAGTGTTAACCTCAAGATGAGACTGGTATATCCCCTAGAAGCAAATAAATACGAAAGCGGTGGATTGAATAGTTATTCTATTTTTCCGTAGTTAAATGTAAACATAGCCGGTCCGTAGTCTGGGGTGCAAGAATTGTGCTAAAACGCAGGTAGAAAGGGAAAAAATGACCCAAGCGTTACCGAACGGAGTGTGCAGTCACACTGGGCAGTCAACGTACAAATCAATGCGGACAGGCCAATACTGACCTCTGATTTACTGAGCCGCATCGATCTTGTACCAGAGTCCGCATGACGTGCGTCCGAAACGGCTAATCACGTGATGTGCGGTAAACGTTGTGGGCCACAACAGGTACGAAACAGATAGTTATCCCTTTTCAATTTTTCGCAAACCAATATGGAACGGCCTATACATTCATGTGATGATCCAGACCTACGTGCCCGCATTCCAGGCACGACCAGTTACTCTTTCATGTCATTCAATCACCGTTCGGGATGTTCGGCCAATGATACACCGGGCGAGCATGACATCCGGGTTAGCACATATGATGCGTCGATGCAAAGGACTACGTGATTGGAGGACGGTCGTTCAACCAATCATACGAACTATTACATTCTATAAAACACGCTCTAATTCCATCCATGCACATAAGCATTTGCTGCTATCAATTCCTTGTGTATTTCATTGGTGTCCGCAGTTCGGGTTGGAGCCAATTCAGTTCTGAGCATTACGGTACGGGTTCTCGGATTTCTACATTCAGTACTATTTTGATTACCACAATTCATTCCCACAGATTCGATCAGATCAAATTTGAATGAAACTTAGGACAGTAACTGGCCTTTAGAACTGGAATGATTTGCTCCAATGAACTAGTAGAGGAAGAACTAAGAAACATAAAATCTAAACTTGTGATTAGTGGATACCAGAAGCGTTTCGTCTTAGAAAAGTCAAAGCTACTAAAAGCAATCACGGACCGCAAGAACGGGCTATTCTTGCAACTCCAGTTTCAAAGAGATTCGGGTAGTGATCTATGGAAAAGACGTTTAGAAAAAGCAATCACACGAACAAATCCAACCACCACGATAGTGTGACATTTACAAGCTACCCACAACTCGTGACGAACCTGAAAAATAAGCTGTCCATCTCCTCCTACATAAATACATAGTCCTCAAATTGCTTATGTTCGGCAGGTTATGTAGGACGAACAATGAGATAGTTTTTATAAAGATTCAGAGAACTTAAACCTGGGTGACTTAGCACAGGTTGCAAGAAAACAATAACCAATGCGGTTGTGGCTCATTTCTCTGATCTCGGGCACCAGATGTAGAGTCATCTACAAAAAGCCTCAAAACAAGACGAAGTGCGTTCGGTAACGTCTCTTGGCAACGGTAAAAGCCGTNCCAGCCACTATGCAAACAGAATAAAGTGGTTGCCGCACTCCAGCTGCCACTGTCCGGCCTTCACACACATGTGGAACCGAACCATATACTCAACCGTGCCATGTTAAGGCAACATGGCGTGACACATCACACATGAAAAACGCGATTGGATATTTCCAGAAGTGACCTCAGCCCCCGCTCCCGTTTTCCTTGTGCCCACATAGAACTTGAAAGATAGTGTTAACTTAATGAATCAATCACTCTTATTTCTACATTATATATAAAACACGTTAGGAGTCATCAGTTGGTGTCATAAACCACGACCTTATCCAACAAATGCCATGCAAATAAAAAGCGATCGATCAAAATGATATCATCAACTCAAATCGGTCCTGTTTACTGTATGCTTTGCTTGGGTTTACAATCTAAAGACGTTTATGTGAAAGAAGAACATTGACATTATCTATATAGAGGTCATCTTTTGTCAGATAGAGCCAAGATGACAAACTCAACTGTCTTCAATGAGACAAGGTTCTCTCCCAGATTATTGAAAACGTTTTGTTGCGTATATATATATATATATATATATATATATATATATATATTGACAGATAGATAGATAGATAGATAGATAGATAAATAGATAGCTAAAATAGATCGGTGAATGTGGGAATATCCTTGGCCTATTGATCCGCTAAAACTGGAAGGATTTGACTCATAACAAAACGGATCAATAAACAGGTGTATTACTGGCACGTAAGATAACCGGGGACTGATAGTCAAAAGCTTATTTCGTGTAGACACAACGCGAATTGTTTACGCGAGTACCGCTCTTGAGAGCGGATTATCTTGGTGACTTTTAACTGGTACAGAACGGACAGTTGATGGAAGTGCTTTATGCAGAATGTTATTCTCCAGTCAGCGACAGGGGAAACGATTTCACTTACCGAGTGCAACTACTGTCTGGATTGTTTCACCTTCACAGACGATGCGGTTCGTGCTTTCGCTGGCCACCACCCACGAGTCGTTCACAGTGTTCTTACCATTCAGATTGCATGCAGCTTTATTTTTTATCATTTCACTGCTGTGTTTGATGTGTATCTTTTGCTCACCTCCAGTGATGTTAATCACTTCTGGGATCGGATTCTTGTACAGCGGTGACCTGTTATCTGTAACCATGATACAATGAATGGAGAAATGGGTATCAAAGGTTCACTGAAATCCCGTAGCTACTAATAAAAGAAAATTTCTGAACTGACAAAGTATAAATTTCATTAACTACACATTTATTGTCTGACTCCACATGACACGCAGCCCTAGAAATCATCCTAGAATTCAGTTAGAACCCATAGTTTGATAGAATTTAGTTCGTTTGTTGAAAACGGTTGCTGTTTTACTTATTTATGTCACATTGCCCTTGATATTTGTTTCCGGCCGTGATTAATGGACAAATCTTATGAATAAAACAGGCATTTTAGGCAGCACAGTTATTATTCCTTCAATAAAGGTCACTTTTTGCAGTCATAGAGCAGCAGGGCTCGCAGACAGACGCCCCAACGATTCAGATTGTCTTTGGCTGGAGGCACGGTGGCACTGTGTGACATTAAACTGAGATCAATATCTTCAATGCACTCCTCTTCTGTCTGCAATCCCAAAGATAAAAGGACAAAAGGTAGGCAGAATTGTGGGTAATGAACAAGCAGCAGAAATTGTTATCCCCTGTACATAATTGAACGACTATATGTTGTTGTTTGGTGTTCTACTTCGGATTTTTTTGATTCAACCTATAATTATTTTGGTGCCGTATCAGTAAAGATTTGAGAACTCAAAAAGGCACACGGAGCCAGGTTTGAACTGTTTAGTGGTTAATCAACTTCTGGGTGCATTCTCTAGCCAGAAAATCGCTGAAGACATGGGACCTGTAGACAGGTGCATTGACATGGTGCAGCAAGTTCCCTCGAGCTCGAGTCCTTAGACGACGCCTGGCAACAGCCTCCAGCACTTTCAGCAGACGGTGGGTGGCGTACCAGTCTCTGATGACTGTGCTTTGTTGTACGAACGGTACAGTAAACGCATGGCCGTTGTTAGTCATGAACACAACCACCATCTGCTTTGCCGCAGTGCGCTCACGTTGGAATTTCTGAGGAGACGCCCCCACCAGCCAGTGTCCACTGAGTCGATTATTGCTTGGTCTCTGGACCGAAACTATACACGCAGGTTCCATCTCCACGATGATCTTCCAAACTGCCTGCCTAGCAAGCATGGTGCGGCATTAATTCTTCCAAACTGCTTTCAGATCCTCATTTAGTTAATGGGTTACCTAGCGTGTGCAAACCTTTCTGAGGCAGAGTTTATCATGTCGGATTGGGCGGATTGATCCCTATGGCTTTCGCCAACGGTGTCACTAGCACCCGCGCATCCCCCTCCAACATCGCTTGCACAACAATAATGTTGTCCGCTGTGGTGGCCTCCATAGGTCTACCACTTCATGTTACATCATCCAGGGACCGTCTGCCACGCTTGAATCCGTAAAGCACTTAAACAGAATGCTTCTCGAAGGTGCGTCATTGCCAAAAGCAGCTCACAAACGTTCAACACTCTGCTGCTGCTGCTGATGATTTAAACCACATTTCGCAGTCGTAGCGAATCATCGTCCTCCCATTACATAAACTGAGTTCTATCCTTACAGTCCGAGTATAGCGACCCTTATGAGTTGTGAGCTGTGCTCGGCTATGTTGATATTTTGATCTGTGTGAAGCAATCACTGCGCAATATTCACAATAGATACCCGGTCATCCACACTTCGTACATGTAGTGCGTATCCACAAACTTATAGCTCTGCCCTCGTCTATTTCCAGATGCTTCTCTAACAACACCGATAACTCAGTTTTTTTAGCTATTTCAGTGTGCATTTCGGTGTTCGACCCTGACCCTAACCTGAACAAAGATTGAAAATTTGTTGTGTACAAAATCCAGCGCCATGGGCGCGCGCGTGTGTGCCAGTCTGATACCAGCTGACTCCGAAGGAGGTGAAATTGGAGCAACTGATTGCTTACACAACCTGATCCACATTTGATCAGGTTATTCACGTGAATTCTGATCATCCTGTGGAAGGTGCACCCATCCTTTGTCTCACGTTAAGCACAATAAATGGCTACAGATTTTTCTTCATCCATTGCTTTGAAATAATCCGTTTAGTTTTTTTTCTTTTCGGTTGAATTCCCTACTTTAGATTCCATCTCTATCGATTAACACAACTGCCGGCGCTAATTTTTTTCGCTGATTAGATTGTGATGCACGATTTTCCGACCTGATCCCGACTTTTGCTACACTTTCAACCCCGGTACCATTATACTCATTGGATATTTGCTCTAATCTATGCGTATCTTTGTTCCTTATTTCTGTAACCTTATGAACGACCGGAGCTTTACATGAACGACTCATTCATTTGCTTAGGGCTAATGAAAACGAAGACTGTTCTTCAGCCCCGGCAGCAATATAACATCATCATAATCATTTAGTAGTACATTGATGGAGCGCGTAAGATTCCTGGATCATCCGATGGGATCGGAGGTGATGAACATTTTATCGTCTGATACTCATTTTTGTTCAACTATGAGAGCCTTTATTCGTGTGCTCCATCTATCCAATTCCCTTCTCAGTCAAAATTTCCTATACAGACGACCTAAGAAATTTTTTATATTTGGTTTAGATTTCATGCTCACATTTCAGTTAAAATATTATATATATATGTATATAATATTTTAACTGAAATGTGAGCAGCAAATATATATATATATTCCTGACAAATGCCATCTCGTTCAAATGTCTACCCTATTCCCTAAATGGGAGTCCTGTTGCATGAGTTCAATCAATACCTGTTCAATTTTTTTTAACTGAAATGTGAGTGCTTGAAAACAATTATTAAAGAAGATAGGGTTGGTATCGGATCGACACGTAAAAGTTACGTCAAATGTTGCCGTTTACAAATATGTTCGTGGCATCTTAATAATAGATATTGTTGTCCAACCCCAAATAATACGTTGGAATAAAAAACGTAGTAGTTCATTTTAGTAGATTAACTGCTAGGTGGTCGTTACTCTATGAGAATTCTCATGAAACTGTTAACAGAGGCCTAAATGTTTTATGGTTCCGTGTTCAAGCTTCAAAGGTATACTCAGTATTTCCAATATGATTGATTTAGTTATCTCATCTCAAGGTGTGTAATATTTTCCATCTAACCATATAAAGTATGCAGTACAACTCATAGTTACGAAGGTATCAAGTTTAACCGCGTGTAAGGTTCAAGGATGTTTAATTTTCCGACTGTCCTATCATTCGAATAATCCAACTGGGATCGGGAAGTGAGTAGTCATTTTTAGGAAAGTATTTTGCATCTTGACATACGATATACATGCTTACGCATGAATTGCACCGGAAACAGATAGTAAATTTTCTCTGATGAACGCGAAACCCAGCATATCATGTCGACATCGATCACGTCAAACTTTTCAGTCGGATACCACGAGCCATTGTAACTGTCTAGGGCCACCTGATCCCCGGCTGCTTTGCATCTGGCGACTTGTACTGTTTCTCCAGCAGTTTTGACGGTCACTCTGACTCCAGGAGAATCGGGTGGATTTCGCGGATAGAACACCTCGTAAGTGTCTGGCTCGACGCGCCAGACTGTATGGGTTTCCTTGAAAGCTTAAAGAGAGAGAGTGTGTGTTTACGATTGATCAGTGAACTGCGATCCACAGAAACGAAACAGTTATTGCTGAGTGTGCATATTTATAAAATGATTTTGACAACAACCTAATTTCTATCATCCAAAATTTTCCTGTGAGCAGCAGAATAAATAAATCCCATAGTCATGAATACATACCATTCTTTCAGGAAAACCGATAACCTAAACCCTGGTGCTTGAATTGGCAAAAGGATAATCGGGGTATTGAGTGGGATGGCAGCGAAGCTGTCTACCACCAAAAGTTTGATGTTGTTGACAAGGTTCGAATCTCGGTCCTTAGGGTGCAAAGAAAGCCAGAGACAGATATCTTAGCCGTTTGCCCACCGCCACAACATAAAATTTGTATCTTCCGATGGCCATTTCTGCCAAAAACAGAGCATACAATAAAATGCTATCGACGAAACGAACAGCATTACAACATCACAGGTAACTGGGATAGATCGAAACTTAATGAATCTATTGAATAGAGCGGTAACAACTGTTAACTCAAGAGTAAGTGAGAGGTTTTGCTCGACAAACCAAGACGAGAGTATTTCAACCGCGGAATAACATTTTATTCATGAAAATTTCCCACAGATGTCGACCATAACTATTGTGTTTACCACAGATGCAAAATCTCCCAGCTATTTGTTCTCAGATTGGGAGCTCATCTTTGAAATCAGGACGAGACAACAAACCTTCATGAGTAATAGGAAAGAAAACAGTGGAAGGGGCGTGAAATAGTGCATCCGTCATCAGAAACCGTTGTATTTACGGATACATAACAAAGAAGAAAGGTATCTCGGGTCATTAGGCTGCGTCATCGATTAATAAACTTTTGATTGGTAACAGTTATGGATGAAGTTTCGGACTTCGGAGCAGTTGAACAAGGTCTACTCAATACGATTAGCTGTTACTCGAGAGCAGATGACGGCAAAACTAGTCTTAAAATCAACTGTATATCACCAGTTTCGGCTAAGACTACGACGTAACCACGAGAATTGAAACCGAAACGTGGTAGGTCAGTAACAACCCCAAAACAAACCGTGCTTCGAAATGTCATATTTTGCCTCAAATTCGCAAATTAGATGTGATTAGGCAAACTATTCTTTCAAAACACCTCATAAGCATTTTGCAAGCACTTCAAAAACTTGATGAACAGTACTGTTAGGACGGAGCGCACGGATTTACGTTGCACCACAAGAGCGGTCGCGACGTCCGAAGCGAATCGATTCGGGATTGGATGACTAAGATGGATCAGGCAGCTCTCGTCTAATACATCAATCGGAGTGTCAAGGTCGCGATCTGATTAGTGCATCACCACGTCGTTCTCGTACGCCCATTTTATCACTTATATTTTTAGGTATTGCACGCTCTTTGATTGTTCTTCTCCAGCCGTGTTCTCTCTCCCGTATTATTGTTCTGGGCTAAGCAAGAAGTGCTCATATTGATCGCATGTCAAGTCGAGGACGAAGTTGTTGCTCAACACTCCACTTCACAAGTTACAGAAATGCTTATTCTAAAACAAGTTTTCAGGTCAAATAGAGAATAATTAATTTCTGAGTGGCTGTTCTTTAACGGCTACCCTAATTGCGTCAATCGATCGGACGGAGTTCAACTATCAGTTTGTTAGCTTGATACCCTTGGCGAACTGTCTATAAAACTGTATGAACCATATCTGTCCGAATGTGGAGAATGTGTTCAGAAATCCTTCCTAACCCAAACTGTTCTATGCATGTCAATCCATTCAAGTCTCTGGCTCTCACGCTTCAATACGTTCTACCCATTGTTTCCTACATTCGTGCAGAAAATTGCTAACGGCCATGGTTTCTCAACTGCACTGCGATTGCTCCATCCTTTCAAACCGTTCTGTCCCTCTCACCAGTGACCTCAATCCTTTAGAATCCCCTGTAAACTTCGACTGTGCACAACAGGAGTGCTACCATCACACGACGGGACTACTGGTGACAAAAAGAGCATTACAAACATTACGTATCGGTCTCGTGTCAGGCTGAGGGAGTCCAAATGGCGCAAATCGCAGAAAATGATCCCGTCAGATCGATTGGAGGCTCAGATGGAATTTAATTGTTTGAGGTCATGGGTGAGAGGGATAGGACAATGTGAAAGGTTGTAGCAATTGCACTGCAGATTAAAAAAAATCTATATCAGTTGAGCATAATGCTGATGTGCGTGTTCGATTCCGGCCGTTATCACCCATTCCATTCAGCCGCCTGAACAATCCCAATAGGACTGCTCTTCAATCTTGGTTTTTAGCGTACTTATCCATGCAATATATTATAATTTAGACCAATTCGTTCGATTCGGTTTCTTACTGAGATTACCACTTATTTCGCAATCATATATCCGCTAATTCGGGCATGCTGTCAATCAGAGTCACGTGTGCTCTTAAAATGTGCACGCATACCCACCCGCATGATAGTCTAACGAGGGAACTTTCGGCAAGGTTTAGGGGTACCTATTGCTTACAGATTTACAAACTGAGGCAGTCAAGCCTCTGTGCAAATAAAATTTATTCAAAATCAGTACATGGCGATGCATGATGAATTGGAACAACGTTCAGTTTGAATCCTTCCTCAAGGACGATACAACGTTATCCACTAAACGCTCATTTCATCTGACCATCCTCTGTGTTTGGACCAGACCCCTTCAAAAATATCTTAGATAACAGCTATCTAAGCACGGTCATCGCGACAAGTTCAAAGAACCTTATGGTTTGTTCTTGGCTCCACTCACGTGATCTGTAGACGGTTGAAATACTTAATCGATTAAGGTCGAGTCCGATGCTGTTGATCTACATTATATCTATTTGACAGACGGACATCTTTATTGAGAGCGAAACTGAAGTATTCGGAATAGAAATCGGAATCGAAATAACGCGAACTGGGATTCGCATTGGAAACCCACTGAATAGTACAAAGTAAGGTAGAAACAAGACGAGCTGTGGATATAGTTAATTCTATTGAGAAAATCATGCACATAAATATCACAAGCACCAAGCAATCATTGGTCGATTCTTTAATGTCCAATCGATAACAAAATTATTCATTTGTGCTTTGTTGCATCCAACCAATCCGATTAGGGCCACTTGAGACCACAGGATTGGTCGGTAAACCTGTTTCTTGATTGGTTACCTGGAAACTGTACCATGCTGCGTACTCGTTACAAGATCACCACAGAGATTCTTAGGGTTCACTTATTTATAAAACCGGAATCTGTGAAAAGCGAAGGCTGTATTAACGCCATCCACTATAATGTCATCGAAAATAGCACGAGAGAAGCTTCAAATATATAAATCAGTGTCGGAACTCATTTTTCGGAATTTGAACTTCTCAGCAAACCTCATGCAATAATGACCAAAGGCTTAGAGGTTGCAACAAACTTCAGTTCTTTTTGGTTAGAACTTCAAACATGAAGTGTATTCGCTAGACAAACAGCTACATCAACAAGGCAGAGGTAGATCTAACTGCGGAGATCACATTGAGTTAAGGTGTTAAAAAGATCTATTCCATCCGTAGCCATCCTTCAGACTATATTTTCCCTTCAAGAATGAATTAATTTACCGAACATCGTAACGCGATCTTTTGTAACAGAGGTAAATTAACTGTCCAAACTTGTCCTTTCAATTTGATTTGGATAGAGCATAGACTCACTCGTAAAGTTCAGCTTTTCAAACCTCGGATGAAAAGCATCCAGTACCCGAATGTAAATGGTTCCAAACACATTGTTTGGCACCTCAACGGTGTTGGCTACGCAGGTCACCAAATCTTGATAGTTCGGTTGGCACAGCTCCAATTCGGGCATTTCGATCAGTTCACGGTTTGTCACCGAATCGTAATAGAAGAATGTGTACCGGATAGCATCATCATAGCTTGTCACGGTACAATTGGATAGCACATCTGTGGGGTCTGTAATCGGCAGAACGCAGGCCGTATGTGTGAGTCATTGTGCTGCAATAAACTAGGAACGTTGACATTGTTACACCTACAGAGAACAGATGCTGAGCTTTCTATTACGCACGTGTTTGGCCCCAAAAGGAAACTCGATGGTTCACATGAGCAAATGGTGTGTAAGGCAAAACAATGCTGAGAAATTCCAAAAGGGGAAATTGCCTTCCGATGCTTCTTCCAAAAGCCTCCAATGGGTCAGCCCTGGCCCAAATAAACCAATACGCTCTGTTAAATGAAGAATATAAAACCCCAACAAAGTGAGCACCAACAGCAGCAGCCACCAAGAAACAAATGATGGCCGCCAGAAAAGTATGAACAGACTTCACTGTGAACCAAGGCGGTCTGAAAATGTAGATATAGAGTCACCATGTACCACATAAACTCAGTAAAAAAGACGTTTCATCTGTTTTCAGTAACGTGGTTACCCGTAAGCGCGGCTGTTCCGATGCATTTACCCTTAACAATGGGCTATGTATTTGCAGCGAGATCTGAATCGTTCACTGTGCCTTCCCTGAATGATGGCATTATCACCAAAAACTGGTTTAGAGGATACCAAAGGCCATGTAAACAATTTAATGATCATCCTCCTCAAAGCCATTTTATATCGATTGATCATATATATATATATATATATATATATATATATATATATATATCTGATCACTAAAGTGTTAAAGCTCTTTATCTGAACAACGCGATCCCGATTCTTTGTGCTGCGACAAGGATAGATTCCGGGGAAAATCACCGAATTGTTCTGTATGCAAACTTCACGAGGTTAATGTGAATCGACGGATGTGTGATAATTGGAATAGTACTGAACGTAGGAATACGAGAACCCGTACTCTAATACTGAGAACTAGATTGGCTCCAACCCGAACTGAGGACACCAATGAAATACACGGAGAATCAGCAAAGGCTAATAATTATTCGTCGAAATAGAGT